GGCATTTCCCAGACCACCACTGTTTTCAGGCTAAAAATCCCTTCTCCTATTCCTCCCCCAGGGTTTTCAGTGGGTGGCACCGCTCTGTCTCACTCCTGTTAATTTAAAACCACAACCCCAGACCCAACTCCAGATTTTCAATTCAGATTCTGATCCTCCCTGCACTGGCAAGACCAAACCGTGGGAGTAAGGGGGGGGAGAAGCTCCTTCCCTCCTCTCACCTGGTCACGAGTGGAACAGAGTGATCCAGGAGGGAGACCCACCCATCTTTTATTGGTCTCATTAGGGATCATCTGAATATTTGAAATCGCACAGCTCTTTAAAACCCAACCTGATATCCAGGCCAGATTTTTTTTTTTTTTTTTCTGGGCATCGTTTAATTACAGATTATCCTTGCCCTGGATTGTGCCCACACTAATTGGGTGAGGAAAACAACGAGGGAGAGGGATAATTTGTTTTACTTTATCTTCGGGAAGCTGGTGTGGAAGAAATCAAGGGCTGGCAAAGGGTGGGCTTGGGCTGATTTCCTAAATAAATCCATTTACCCCAGCACTCTGTGGGAGAGACAAGATTTGTGTCTCCCTCTAAATATCCCATTTTAACCATCTCAACTCCTCAGGGCTTCACCTTCAGCTTTTTTTTTTTTTCTCCCAAGTGATTCGTGTCAAATTGCCTTTGACTTGAAGGCAAGGAAAAAGCAACACAAAATATTTGTCCCAGCTAAAAAGCTGGGCCTGGAATGGCTTGGGGGAAAAAAAATCGGTGCCACAAATCAGTCTCAAAGTCAGGATCTTGGAGTGGTCCAAGGCAGACAAACAAATTTGCCAAAGCTCGTCCCGGCGCTCGCGGGAAGAGGTGAAGAAGGAAAAATCTCCTTCTGGATTTGGAATTCGGCACTAAAAAACGAGACCAGCTCGAATAAACGGGCTCAAACGTTCCCAAAAATAAAACCACTTAAAACCAGTGGTAGAGTGGCTTTTTTTTTTTTTTTTTCGTAAGAAAAATCTGTGAGGGTTTGGAAAATATTCAGAACGAGTTCTCCAACTGTGAGAAGGTCCCGGAGCTTCCTTGAAGGCAGCCGAGGAGGAGCTTTAAATTAAGAAGGAACGTTTAAAATGATAATTTCTTAAACGGATCTGTGTCTTTACAGTCCGAAAGGAGTAAAATTATTGCGATTCTTTTGAATTCGGAGGGCAGTTTTCTGTTGTGGCCCCTGCTTTCAATGAACTTCTGCTCCAAACACCAACAGCTCCGAAGCACAGAATTTAAACAGGATATCAGAAAGGATATTTCTGCGAAGACACCCACCCCCCCTTGCCATTTCAGCAGCTCGACCCACCCTTTTGATATTTAGCCAGCAAGAATAATGGCGATTGAAAAGGCAATAATTGATTCAAAATTGACTTACCCGGATCACCAAGGGGAGAAGAGTTTAAAAGACAAGTGATTAGGAGGCTTCTACGTTAGCAAATGCTTTTATACTCTTAGTCAAATGGCCCGGGGGGATGTGACACCCTTTTTGCATGAAGTCTTAATTAGTTGCAAAACAAACTTTGCTGCCTGCATAACTTCTGGCGAGTAATGAAACTGTTTTTTTTTTTTGCTTGCTCTGTTTGTGTGTTTGTTCCCCTCCTCCCGAAAAAAACGTGCTGAATCCCCGGAATCCCGTGCCCCCTCAGCCTGCAGGCAGGATTCGCTTGGCCATTTTTCCCTGGGCCCTGAAAGACTCGATCTGCTCGGTGAAACCACATTTCAGTTATAGCAGGGCTTGATCAAAGTTGGGGGGAGGGAGGGAGGGAGGTGGCACCTGCATTACTTTATTATTTTTTTTTTTTCCCTTCTCTCAAATTGGGGGGGATTGGAGAGTAACAGCAGCATCTTTTCCTGTCAGGGAACAGCATTTATTATTTATTTTTTTTCTTCTTTTTTTTTTTTTTTTTTTTTTTTTTTTTTTTTTTTTTTTTTTTTTTTTTTTTTTTTTTTTTTTTTTTTTTTTTTTTTTTTTTTTTTTTTTTTTTTTTTTTTTTTTTTTTTTTTTTTTTTTTTTTT